AACAGAGCAGTTCTTCCTGATCCTACCATGGCAGCACTGCTGGGGACTGAGCTAACCGCCACACCAGATGGACTCTCCAGAGCCGCGTTGTTCCTCGCCTGAGCCAAAGCCACAGCTTGCGCATTTCCTGTCAAGCCCTGCCTGGCTCCCACCAGCTGGACCGGGATGTGTGGAGGGTTATGACCCCCGGTGTTAGCTTGACTGTTGTTTGGTGGCGCTGGCAGTATGGGAGGCGGCTGCCGAGGCGACAGCTGAACGGGCAAGCGGTGTCCCTGAACCGTCTTGGGCTGTATTGGGACGGGACCCTTTTCCATGTTAGCATTGGCCTGCTGAAGGGGCTGCACCACCAGAGTCTGTGGGTTCATGCTGGCCTTCGGGGCCACAGAACCGATTGGGTAGCCCTGGGTGGAGGTAGTGACATTTGAAGTGGGCACCAGGATGACGGGAGAAGACGGGGCCAGGAGGAGCTGAGAGAGGGGGAGCGCTGGGGATGAGGAAGAGGAGGATGGGGCCACAGAGGCTGCAGGGGCCACAGTCATGGCAGCCTGGTTCCCAGTCTTCACAGTCAGAGTGCTGGAGGCAGACGGCTGGTTAAAGCTGGCTTTAGCCATCTGCTGCTGCTGCGGCTGCTGAGAGAAAGTCTGCTGCTGCTGAGCGAGAGGAAAACTGCCGGCATCCTTCCTCTCTACATTTTCAGCCTTTACAGCGATGGCTTTGGCGTTAGAGGCACAGTGTAGAGCCAGGTTCTGCACCTTAGAAGCAGAGAGACCAGACAGTTATGGTCCAACAGTTTTCCCTTAGCTGTGGTGCCTGAAACTTATCTTTAAATAGATCAGACCTGGTCGTTGTCAGCCTGGGCACATGGAGTGGTGGAAGCAGTGTCATGCTGTTGCTGCTGCTGGGGTTGTGTTTGTGTCTGAGCTACCGTCGCTACGGCAGCGGTCGTCCCGCCGGGCATGAAGATGAGCTGGGAGGTAAGCGGATTCCTCAGAGAGCGGTTCACCTTCACGAAGACAAGAAGATATGATCAGATTGTCTTCTAACCACAAGATGAAGAACTTGTAGGACTCAAAAACTAAAAGACTATTTATCCAAATACTAGGATTCTACAAAGTTTAGCATTGAAATTTTTCATCACACGGTTTCTACTGATTACTTTGGATGGGATGCCAGAAAAAGTGCTGGAGTAACCAGTTTTTCTGGCTTAGAGCATAGATTGAAATGACACTGGCCCATATAATTTACCACATTGCCAAAATTGTTTCTCTTCTTTGCTTAAACACCCCACAATCCTGGGTTGTGTCACTATCAGTATAAAAAAACCCAACTTAAATTGAAAGCCAAACTTAACAAGAACATTTATTAGTTTACTTTTCATTTATCAGCTTCCCTCAAGTCTCCAGGAAGATAGGTCCATAATTTACAGCAGCAGGAAGAAAATGATGCATCAGAGTGAGGCTTAACTCTCCCTTTAGATACGAACTGAACATAGAACACATAAATCTAGTTATTGGTAACATGTGTGTGCATTTTAAACTCACCCTAAGATACATTTGTCCCTGTCCTGCGGAGTTTCCACCCAACAGCACTGACTGGTTGAGAGCTGTTGTTGTTGCAGACGTAGCCGGACCGTGTGGACGAGGACTGCTCATAGTCCCACCGGCAGATGTAGTGCTTAAATTAACCTGCAGGAAGCATAAAAAATATGGGTTTCTATAATATCCTGAAACCTGGTAGAAGATTAATCCTTAAAATGTTCAACAGGTAAACTTACAGTGGTGGGAGCCGGCGAAATGCTGTTACTTGGTGTATTGGACTGGCGACTAGCTGCAAGTGTGGCCTGGTTTAAAAAGGGAAAGTAAGTCAAAATCGGGTTAAATGTAATCTAGCTAATTTAAAGACAGAAATAGCAAAATGCTGTGCTATAACTGCTCATAATCAGCACACGATAAGCTGAAGAAATAATAATAAAAAAAACTTTAATGGAGAATTTTCTTATGCACTGATTGTTGTCATAACCGTACCTGTTGCACAGCAAAGTTTTGTAGTTGGGCCGTATTGATCTGCTGCTGCAGCATGAGCTGCTGGAAGTATTGGGCTGCATTAGGCTGTCTCTGCAGAGCTTGGAGAGCCTAAACAAAAAGAAACAACACATTGACTCAAACGTCTTCAAGATTAATACAAAGGGTTAATTTAAATAATAATGGACATTTTCACGGTTTATAAGCAATCCCTCACCTGTACAGCTTGTCTCTCATACAAAGACATGCGGGCAATCTGGGGTGCCCGGGAGTTCCCACTCGTCTGAGGGTTTCCGTTTGTGCTGCTTGTGTTTTGGTCTTCGCCTGATTCCATGTTTGCGACTAGAAACCCAAAAATAAATAAATAAATAAATTCAATGATTGGAAAGGACTCCAAAAATGTTCTACTCTTTCTACCCATGTATACTTAAATCTGTAACAATATAAATAAGACACCTTGTTTGAAAAGGCACAATCAATACTGACCCTTTTTATTTAAAATGTATAAAGCTTTTTACAATTGTTAGGATTTTTTTTCTAATTTTAATCAAGTAAAAAGTTTACGTTTTGGTTTGTTCTCCTGTCACATATACTTCAATAAAAAAGCAATAGTCCGTGGATTACAAAACCAAAAACAAATCAAATCAAATGTTTCATACATTTGTCATAGTTTCAATCTTTCTTTTAAATGAAAGATTAGTATACTAAATTTATACTAAAACCAAATCTCTAATAATATACCTGGAGACGTCTCAATAAGGAGTTCAGTGTGGAACCAAACATATCAAATAAAACATAATTAGTTTCTGAAGCTAATTATGTTTGAGCACTGCTTTCAGCCAGCTGAGAAGCAGTGCTTGATAGTAAGTGGGGAGGGGAAGTGGTCCTCTAATCTTTTCAATGGGCAGCTGAAAAAACTTTGGCCACTCCAGAACTGTTTCTGGTATCTCGTTAAGAGGTGACACAAGCAGAGAAGAGGAGTGATATGATTGATTTTTTTTTTTTTTTGTATGTTCTGAGTCTTTTAAAACCTTTGAAACCATTGAGTACATCATTACCAGTAATCAACCAATGCATAACTACTGTCTATTACATAAACTTAACCATAAAGTACTCTGCTTGTTTTAACAGTTTACAAAACTCTATTTTTGAAAATGTAAAAGAAAATAGTCAATATACAATTATATATCCTACTGATTTATTCGTTTTAAATAAATCAAACTTCTTACTTTCCAATCCTTTCAAGACTGTGAATATAAAAACCACGGACACAAACTGTAGCATTTTGTACAATTGTGTAATTATGGTGCTGAAATTACAGCGTCTTTATGATGAAGTACATTAAAGCTTTAACAAAAGTAAAGCGGTTATTCTTTACTTCAACTCCTAAGGCAATAAACAGCGTTTCCCCCGCCACAACCACAGCTAAAATAATTGTAAAAAAAAAAACAACAACAACTGGCATTGCGGTGTTTTCATTAGCAGATAAGATGTAAACATCTTTAGGTGGATATGAGCAAAAGAGCACTTCATGAAACTTCACAAGATCAAGAAAAAACAAGCTTTTCATCCATCGGTGGCTAACTCTTGCTACTTAGTTATTCTTCCACTCAGTTATAACGTCAAATTATAACGCTTGAATTGGGATACGTGTTGTGAAAGCATCCGAATATCAGAAACAATGTCTTTGGGTATAAATATTTGAAAGCACTGCCAAAGAAAGAAAAACACTTGGCGTTAACTGGCAGTTACACATATGCTAACACCAGTTAGCAACATTAGCTGATTTCAACAGGCAGAAAGTCAGCAACTGTAGCTCTTACAACAGTTCCTTTGGTCTGTAATTTTTACTTTATTCAAGTGCTTACCTTTCGTGGGGCTTGTCTGTCCTTTTCACTGAATATACACGCATGAAAGTGGTCCTGATTTGTCTTTTGCACTGGGAACAACGACAGCCTTGGAGGATTTTTGCCTGCAGTGAAACCCCGCCCCCTGCCACTCTTTTTCTTCTTTCTTCTGTTTGTACACTTTAGGGGGCCTCTAGAGGGCGCTGTGGCGCAACTGACCTGTGAATGGACATCAGACATGGACTGAGAGATCATAGACAGGATCAAATAAAGTTGTTGGCGGGAGTAAAAAGTGTTTTGTTTGGGGTTTTTTTTAGAGCATAAGACCCTCGGTTGACCTATTTTACCTGGAACTGTAGACTAGATGGAAAAAAAACTTCTAATAACCACACCATGAAGCGGGAAAAACTTTGGACTGTGTATCATTTCTTGAGACTTTAAATGATGAATAGTGCCCCCTGCTGGCCAAACATATTAAGGAACGACAGATTTTGTTTCTCTGAGAAAGTGTACGAGCAGCAAAGTGAGGCAAGTCGAAGTATGGAAAACCACACAAAGATATATATATATATATATATATATATATATATATATATATATATATATATATATATATATATAAAAACATAAATAAGCCGACTAAGAGAAAATATATATCACAATAAAATAAAATGCTGTTATTTAAAAAAGCATAGGGTTATGATTCAGAAAAATATGCAAATGTATAGAATTATTTAAACATGTACAAAATATGCATATTTGCTCATAAAAAAGAAACTATTTGCAAGAAATGAAAAAAACTGCAGTGACAGGGATGTGCCAGTAATAGCTGGAAATGTTATTTGAAATTAGAAAAAGTTTGCAAACACCAGTAAGGTTGTAAATACTTAGAGTATGTTGGGAGTAGTGATGATTTTGACTTATCAAAGTCAAAATTGCCAACGAGATGAAGTATCTGCAGTAACTCACTATTTCTTTGCAAACTTATCAGTTCTGTCTATACTCTGTCTTCATTTTAGTTCTTTTTTTTGTTTGTTTGTTTTAAAGCGGAAACATTTCTCAGTGCCATTTTAAAAATAAAATCAAGAAAGTGTGGTGCAACTCAAGAAAAACAAGAGATTGAACCTTTAAATCATATTCCACTGTAACAGTTATCAAACTGGATGCATTTTTATTTACTTCAAACACAAGTGATACCATTTTTACCAGAGAACACAGGAGACAATTCAGTGAACTACGAAAAATAGGCCAACATTAGTAAACTGTGACAAAACAAAGCAGGAAAATTTGTTTCCTCCTACTGAGTGAAATTCCAAGACACTCTACTTTTGTTTTCACCAATAATTTATGTAAAAAATTTATAAATCTTATGAATGATATCCTCAAAAGTAACATTTCAATATATTAATAGATAGTACAGCAGGTGACGTCACTGCCACTTCTAACGTTTTAAAATAGAAGCAAAAACTGCAGTTAGAAGGTTTTGGTCAAACATAAGAGAAAACAAAAGTTGGTAAACGTATTTCTGGTGCTTAGGTTAACAATTACAATGTCAGCAGTCAGGAAAGTTTCAACACTGGATATTGGACATTGTTAATGTTCATTCATATTATCAAAATACAATAATATACAGCATACCACATTTCAGAAATCATCAAAAACATGGACAGTGCCTCCAATATTTATTGCCCACCTTTGACGGAGTTCTTTAAAAAAAAGAAAATGAACATTTCAAATAATCTGAACATCCAATTCTCACATTATAGATTATTTTGAAGAAAATCACCAGTGATACCATTATAAGTCTCCCCTCTGTGAACACTTTCTATAACTCGTCAATAGAAAAGCACTCTTCTGATTTTGATATGGAACGTAATGTATGAGAATTTGGCTAGGGTTGCCTAACTTAATAGTGGGCATGAGGGTCTCTTTTCACACAGTCCTCCTTTGTTTCATTTAAAAACCTACCTGGAGTGTTTAATTCTGGTCTAATCTGACACAATTCCAGTTAAGATTCAAGTAAAGATCTATAAAAAACCCAGTTTACATTTGTGATGGTGGGACAAACGAAGCTTTTTCTGACATGAATCTGAAACAAACGGCTGGAGAGAAGCCAGAGTTTAATGGTCCAACAGTAACGCTGCTACTCAGTGCCTTTCTAAAAAATTATATTTATAACCCAGAGAAATGAAAGCAAAGGATAACTAAATAAGACTTAAAAGAAACTTATCAATTTTCAAAAGTGTAAATGAATACTGTTGGTTCAGTTTTCATTTTCAGTTTACATTTGTTTTACAGAAACTTCCTGGGTTACCTCTAATGGTGCCAATGGTGATTTAGTTGAAAACACTTTTTTTCCCCAACTCAATAGAAGCACTGGAAGAAAAAAAGGTTTGATTATTTCTAGGATTATGTTGTTGCAATAAGAATTTAATTAATTTTTAAAATTTTTTATTTGTTTTATTTTTTTTGCCAACTCCAGGCCTAACGCACAATTACAACACTTTTTTTTTTAACAGAATGTCGCAAAGAGAAAAAAAAAAAAAAAAAAAAATACAGATCAGAAAATAAAGTTACTACTGCTAAAGAAAAAGCGTATTGTTTACAAGGAGAAGGGAACAACAGGAAGTTCTTTACAAATCTTTATCAGGGGTGCCAATTACTGAATAAACAGTTTTAAATTGTTCGACAGAACTAAATAGGAAAACAATTATGTTTTTAATTTTATTAAAGATGCATTGCACCTCTGTGACCTTTTTAGATAAAAAATGTGACACTTTCACCTGACATCTTCATTAACTACTACACAAAATATCTGAATTAATGTAGAAACTTTTCTTTGTACTTCTGGGGAAAAAAATAAAGCAGACTAACAAATTTGCATGAGCTTTGGTTTTTGCACTGCTCTCTAGATGTGCAGCAAGGCTCTATGTACTGTCACTTGCTAAGAGCTGAAAATTTACATTCACAATTCGGTCAAACTAACCACTTCCACAAGTAAAATGATCTTGTATAGCCTGTAGCGAGCATTACCTAAACAAAAACCGCATGGCGCTGACTGCACAACCATGAAACGACCGTCATCAGTTAAGTAGAAACATTTAACGTTCATTAGCATGCACGTTAAATGATCAGTGAGTCTGTATTACAAATTAATTATACCCTTCCTTTTACCACCCGATTTTCACAGAAGAGTCACTCCTTCAGATGAATTACAACCGAAACTGAAATGTTTTGAGTAGAAAAGGAGACATGGTCTTCTGCCTTCTAGGAGCCTTCTCAGAGCCACAAGTCTAAAATACAAGCAACGTTTCAACAGGGGACTGTCTCATTCCAGGCAAAGAAAACACACTTGTGTGCACCAGTAATTTTATCTAAGTTTCCAAAGCACAACCTGCCACACAGTGAAAATGTATGCCATATTTCTGACATACTAAGGTCACATAGGTAGTAAGTGGTCGTCTCTCTCTTCTGGCTCTTCATCTAAAGCATCAGCGGACACTCCTCGGTAAGCTGGTGCTTCCTCTCGGTTTTTTGAACGGCACACAAAATCACAGCCATCCTGTAACGAAACAATCAAGTTCACATTAAATCTTTAAAAAAAAAAAAGAATTAATGTTTACTTACACTGCAAAAGTACTCATATCCCTTAAACCTTTTGTATAGTTATCTCATTACAACAAAGGTACTGCATAGTTGCGAAGTAGAAATATATATATTTTTTTGCAACTTAGATAAATCTTACTGCTGAAAGGTTCCCAACTTCCACCCAGAAAGCATAATTTGGGAATTGCTCCATCCCTTTGGCTCCAACAATCAGTCGCTGGTAGAGGAAGCCGCCGATGAGGTAAACGGCTACAAGACAGAAACCACTGGAAGAAAACAAACCTTCCAATCAGCATTTCTTATTGTAGTCTGGAAAGACTGCAATAAGACCTGTCTTTACATACATGATGAGTATTATGGAGCCAGCACTCAGCTGGGATTGAACAGGAGGGCACACTGCACTGGAGTCCAGCTCAAAGAGGTAAAAGCAATCATTCTGCTTTTCTCTGTCTTCGAAAATGACTTCCAAGTCACCCTAAAACAAGAGGACAAGGTAAATTAGGGTTTTAGTTCAGTTACCTGGAAAACATTTACAGAAAAAATGTTTCCCGGCAGCAAAAGTCCACTGACAGTGACTGAAATGCAACCCTTAATTTAGAGTTCACTAGAAACTAAAATGCGTCTTCACTTCCAGGATAAAAAAAAAAAAATACAGTGTTGAAATTTACTCCGAAAACAAACTGTGTGTGTAAAGCATGCTAGGGCACGTTTCTCATCCTTTCACTCTGAATCACTCTCAAATTAATGGAAAGTGGTGGATTAAATTTCAAATCAACAAGCCTGAAACAACATGCCACCATACAAAATCCTATCAATTTTTGAAGTATAAGAATTGAAGATTTAAATACATGAAGCACAACTCATATGTGTTTCTTTTACCGCCGCTTTGTTTTTGTTGCAAGAGATCATGATAATGGCCTTTCTGGCTTCCTTGTTGCAGTGGTTATCATATTTGTCACCATTATGGTAGATCAGCATCACCCAGTCACCTGAAAGGTAAGGGAAAAAAAAGTTAAAACAGAAAAGATAATCGAATGTCTCAGATTCTTCAGATGTTTATTTTTGATGGTTTGTATCCTAACACGATACTATTCAAAAATAGTTAAATACAGACAGAATGAAACTAAAATCAGGTTTAATAAATTGCAAAGTCTTACTGCCGCCAATGGCCTTTGTCGATGTGTATGAGCCAATTATTGTGGGTTTGTCCTCCGAGTTGGTCTTCTTTTGAATCACTCCCGCATTTTGAACCCCTCCTGCATCTCCACACAGCTGGAACACATATGTGTAGCTTTCCTTATCTACTTCGATCACTGCTGACAAGCTGCCCACATGAGAACATGAAGTTAGGAGCCATTAACCAATACTGTAAAACCGAACACTAAAAAACAACAAAGTCAGATGCAATGCTTTGGGTTTAATTACATATTCCTTGAATGTCAATAAGATTTTACTTCAATGAGCAAGATGGTGCCAAACTTACTTTTTGCCGGCCAGAGGTTCCAGTCGGTCAAGGACTTTCTTTTCTGATTCAGATTTGTCGAGTAGTTTGCAGGCCTTGGTGCTATTCCCGGCGAACACACCGTTTCTACACAGCAGTAGCTGAGTCAAAATGGCCCACAACAAGACAGAACCTCGACAGGGAATTCTGCACAGCTAGAACAGAAAGACAAAGCAACTCAGGTAAATTCTGATTCACTGTATTATACAACTTTTAGTGTCTTGATAAGCCCAAAAAGTAATGGAAAGCGGTGGATTAAATTTCATCTCATCAAGCCTGAAACAACATGCCAGATTATTAATTTATAACAGGTTATACTGGGGTTTTATAGATGTCAGGGTTTTAAAATTCCAACACTGTTCATCATACTTAACGTTACCACAGTTAAAGACTGTGACTCTATGACACAGAGTACCTTGATGCCTCTTCTGCACCTTTTGCATCACACTTATGGTCAGTTCGCTGAAAGTCTTCACAAAGTTAACTTCATCCACACCATCCATCATCCACACCAACTCATAGAAGAAGGATGTGGATGGTACCTGACAGCAATGGGCTTTAAGGGAGAACCAAGGAAGACCTTGGACAGATTGCAAGTCCACCAAAGTCCACCAACAAAGACACACAGACACATACCTACGGACAATTTAGACTATTCAGTTGACCAAACAGTCATGTTTTTGGGCGGTGGGGAGAAGCCAGAGTCCCTGGAAAGAATCCATGCATGCATGCACACAGGAAGAGGAAAACATGCAGGACCCCAGGCCCAGGATTCAAACTCAGGACCTTCTTCCTGGAAGTACCACCTACTGTTCTGCCATAAAGCCCCAAAATTAACTTTAAAACTATTTTCTTTGAGATCCACCTGTATTTGGATAAATTTTACTTAAAATAGACACAAATTACGCAGTTTTTGATCCTCCAAACAGAAGTATATAGCTCCCTTCTGAATACACAAAAATAGAGCAAAAAAAAAAAAAAAAGTAAACAATAATCTTAATATGTACCACAGTGATAAAAACTTCTATAAAACTAACGCAGCCATGTCACCTCATCGTCTGGATGTAAATACAAATGAGCTTATAAGGTCAAGTCATCATACCCAAGCATGTGCTTTGGTTTCTTCTCCTCGTGAGAAATCAATATTTTCCAGAAGTTACCACTTCAAAAGCCGAGGTTTTTGTCAGTGCCGTCCACTTACCTTCATGGTTTCCTTTGCTTTAAATCAGTGGAGGAAAAACCGTCTGACTGAGGCTTAATACTTGCTGTTTAAACTGTAGTCAGAAGTTGCACTGAGCTTCCTCACGCTAACGTTGCTTCCTGGTTTACTTTACCAACATCAAACCGCTTTTATGTCACGCAAACAATGAAAATTAAATGCTTAATTGGATGTCCGACACCTCTGCTGACGCTGTTATTGCAGGCCTGGAGAGTTAATAGGTTTTCTTTGAAGTCGCGTTGAAGTGTGGATTTTAAGATGCTAACAGGCTACAGGCAGCAGCGTAATGCGGAAATGAAACTAAACAGACAAACACGCGCATGTGACCAAAAAAGAAGCCGACCAATCAGCGTTGGCTGAGTCTTCTTGCACTCGCATCAGCTGACAGGGGAGAGCTACAGGTGAGCGGAAGTGAAAAAAAACTTCAGAAAAATAAAAAAACGTATCTGGTTTATTCTCTTTTTCTCCTACTAAACCAGGTAATGTATCGAGTCAAATCCTATTGCAAAATGTGTTTCCGCAGCACCTCTGCTCCATCGTCGGCCATTTCTGAGGGCGGTCACTAGACTGTGAATATTGAGTGTAATATGTTCAAACACATTACCTAGAATTGACCCCACTAACTGTCAGTCAAGATTTCAAAATGCAATGAACAAACAATATTAACTGGGAAATGAATTGGAACAAAACTGCACTAAAAACAACTCTAGGTAGAATATTTATACACAAAAGCTGCATGTTTTTGTCATTTTTTGATCCAAAATATATATGTATTGGGAAATTGTTTCATGATTAACAGACACAAACTGGTGCAAAATAGTGGCAGATAAGGAAATTGATTGACGGATTTTCAAACTTCTTACAGATGCCGATTCTGGCAGACCTTTTCTAACAATAACAAATCAAGAAATAATCAGAAACACAGAAGGAAGAAAACCAAGTGACACATATCTAATAACTCAAATGGTTATTAGAGAACATTAGTGAACAAACAAACAGGCAGGCCTCGTCTAGAATACTTATGAAAGGCTCTATGTATGCAAATAACAACTTGAGAATTTACTTTTACGCTTTTCAAAGCCAATACCAGTATGACCAGTTTACTGTTTCCAATTGCCTCAGCATTTTTTCATTGTGTCAGCAAAGTTAAAAACAAAGCTTGTTTTTTTTAGTTAGCTGTACCTCCTGATTCCCACTTATCAGCATAAATCTCAATAAAATTCCACCTTTTCACCTGTTTGTATTTCAATCAGGTGGAATCAATAGCCACCTTTTTCTGCACCCAGAAATGACAGGGTTAGAGAGGAGAGACGCAGACCTTCCACCTTCCACTATTGTGCAATACTCTTTTTGCTGACCTTTGTCCTGAATTAAAAAAAAAAAAGGTAAATAGGTTGACAGGAAGTAACTTCCAGACACTTTATTTTGGTTCACTCTGCAGAAGTGTGTCACATTCATGGAGAAAATAGAGTTTATACATAAAGGCAACACTTGTTGCATAATTCAAACATTAACTAATAATTAGAAAGTTTACACTCATTACAATTTTGAATTATTTAATTTACTGCAGACGTTTTTGACACATCTATTACAATTTTATTAAAATTAGCACATATAAATATTTTAGAAATCATTTATTGAATTTGATTTTGTCAATTTTAAACCCTGTGATATTAAGGAAGGTATGGAACATATTTGGCTGATGGGAATAAAGATAAATCTGCATAAAGCATAAAAAATTCCCCTATGAGAAATACAATGCAATTCAGCAAAGCCATAAAATGGTCCACAGAAAACCGTAATATTGAATCAGCTGTTGAACTGTATAACCACGCTGAAGTGTGGAAATTCATAATATTTAAATGATTATGTTGGACTTTGAACTTAGTTTGACATAAAAATGTTTTTATTGAAAATGTATTTTCTTTCTAAAATATTTATTATTTCAGTTATTTTTGAACTTTTTTATGACCAATCATGTTTGTGCTTTAGGAAGATTTTGTGTAATAACCCAACACAAAGTAGTGCTTATTTTAGTCATATTGTTATTAATGCAGTTAAGCACTTCAAATCTAAGTTACATGGCTGCATAATCACAACAGCCGTTGTTACACAAATCATTTACTGTCACCCTTGCATGTGGCTCCTCCTTTCTTCCTCTGTGATTGCTTCATCTGCAATTTTTTTACAAAGCAAAATGAAAAAATGGTTTTGTTGCTTTTCTCTCCGACAGGCTCAATCTCTGGAAAAACAGAAGGGATTTTTTTTCTTTTTCTCTTCCGGTTTTCCACAGGTTTTTTTCACTTTTCACTTTCTTCCTCCCTCCCCCCGACCCTATTTGTGTTATCACAACCTTTACCTTGACTATGCATGTTGAGGAGACACACCCGGCCACTTCTTTTCTACCAATCACTGAGACACGCCAAGGAGGTGTACTTCCTGTGTTCTGTGAAAGAAGAGTGGAGCAGAAGAGAGGAGAGTTTTCTAGGATTGTTTTTTTGTTGTTGCAGAAGGTGGGGGTCCACACACACAGGGGACAGTAGTAGTGGACACACTGCAAGGGATTTTTGCTTGTGAAAGAGCTACTTGTGGAATGCCACTACAACTGTAAGGACGGGACAGAGACAAAGAGGAGGGAAGAGATAAGTGTCAATCTGTTGAGACTTGTTTGGGAATTTGAGGAAGGAGGAGAAGTGGGGAGGGGGGTAGAGAGACAGAGAGACAGCCAGCAAGAGGGAGAAAGCCAGGAGAATTCGGGCGTAAACATGAACCTTTCAGAAGAGTAGAAACAAGTGAGGAGGAAGCAAAAGAGAGACTGAAAAGTTGTTCAGACATATTTGGAAAACAAGTTTGCCATTTGCACTGTCACCCGGATAATGTCAGCACAAGGAACTACTATGTTGTGCAATCCAGTGCTTTTGAGCTGAGCTGGAGTAGAGGGGGAAGATCATATCTCCCTAAGGCACACCTTCAGGTGAGTTATTCTAATGTAGTTCTTTACCTCTGTAAGATGTCTCTAATTTGAAGCCCAATTTGAGACCTAATTCATTTTTAGTTTGAGGACTACATGCCTTGCCTATGTGTCATGATCATCTGCTCTCTGTAAGGCTTCTTGTGGTATGCTGCATTTTTTGCAGGTCCGTGCTGCATTCTTAATGAACTGTTAAAGGCTGTCCTCCCTCTCACTCCTCACTTTCTCGTTTAAGTTGATTGTCAAATGGTTTTTAACTTCAAGCAGAAGTGCAGAAATTTAAAAAAAAATAAGAATGTAGCGTTTTATGTTTAAACAGTAACCAAATTAACACAACATTTCAGTGGACTGAAAAACTAAGGATTTTAAGTACTTATGTATGTTCTTGACTTGACCTGTACTTAGGTATTTAATCTGCAGTATTAATGCAAATTGTAATAATTTTACTGACAACTACTACCTTGTTCTAGGCTCTTCACATTTTGGTGCAATGTAGACCAAAACCGCCCATCTTTAACACCAGTGACACAATTTCTAACCTAACAACAATGGACAGACTTCTCCCTAGTGGAAAGGTCTCTCGGGATCCAAGTCCTCTGTCAGGAATGAGAGGCATCTTCCATCGAGGAGACAACAATCAAAAACAAAGCAAGAGGAAGGAGAGCGAAACTCAGAAAATGAGGGAAGACAAAATGGTCGGCCTGGAGCGATCGATGGACAGACACAGAGCTCCACATGTCAGAGATGGAGAAAGAGAGTGGAGAGATGGAGAACGAAGGCAAACCGATGGCAGAGACAAACAATGCAGGCCGCTGTCAAATGTAGAGTTGCCTCAGCCTGAGCAAGATGTAAAAACAGGGACAAAGAAAGGCGATACATTTCCCAGAGAGAGAAAGGGAGGCAGAGATTCTAGCTCAAGAAATATGGCAGAAGGAGAAATGAGGCAGAGGGATAGACCCAAAAGAGAGCAGATGGAGGACTGGGAAATGGAAAGATCCATGCGCCAGGATAGAGAAAAAGAAAAGATCCAAAGAAGGCCAATAGAAGAGGGAAGAAGACCACCAGAAGATATCAGAACACAAAAGAGAGAAAACTATAAAGTATCTGGTGTTGAGTTTCAAGACAGGGAAGTAGAAGTGAATGATTCATGGTACAGGAGAGATAGGGATGCTGGTAGACAAAGAGAGCAGTTCAGAGGTGTCATGGATACAAAGGATTCTCCACAAAGGAGAAAAATGTACTCAGAAAGCAGGAATAAAGGAGAAATTGATGAGAGAGAATTGGAGAGAAGGGAAAAAATGAGGGACAAAGTAATAGAGCAGAGGACCCCTTTCAGTAGGAATGAGGTGTTTTACAGAAGCAGAAGAGCGCGGGGGAAGGATCGAGGTGGAAACCAGGAGAGATATAGTGAAGAAAGACATAAGAGGAGAGAAAAAGAGGACTCGGAAAGGGAGAGAGATGTCAGAACAGAAATGAGACCAGCAGACAGAGAGTGGGAAAGAAGGCAACCAATCAAAAGTGATGGCAGGAGGGAAGATGATCAATGTAGAAATGAGAGACGAGACAGAGAGAGAAAAAAAAGGCAGGAAGATGGAAGATCCTTGAGCGATTCTTCTCCTCGAGTAACACCACGAGGCCAAAGCAGTGGAGAGTGGAGAAGCAAGGGGGATAGTGACATGAGGTACATACAAGATGCTGAGACAGAACAAAGAAGAGAAGGCAGTGTTGGAAAAGAACCCCAAATAGAACCAAGGCAAATGGGTGAGAAAAGACAAAGGCAAATTGTAGGAGGTGAGAAGTTTGACAGAAATGAAAGCATATCTTGTGGTTTAGACAAGACACGGATGTGGTTAGAACCACAGAGGGGCAAATCACAACCAAGGCAAAAAGAGGGGAGGAGAATAGACGAAAGGGAAATAAAGTCACTGCATAAAGGGGAAAGAGATGTGTGGCAATTACAAGAGGATCCTAATGAGAGGACCATGACCCAGAGTAGAGTAAGGCATTTAGAAATAAGAGGACGCAACGAGGACTCTGAGGGGTTGAGTGTAGATGGAGACGAGGAGGAAGCCTGGAGAGACAGTTCTAGTGAAGACAAGGAGCCGCTGTCCAACAGTGGTAGAGGGACTGAGGGAAGCTGGAGGATGGATATTCAGGGAGAAAATTTGTTAAATAGCACTAGTGGCACAGAGGAAGAAGGTGGGAGCTGTTCTGGGAGTAGAGGAGGGAGTGTCAACAGCTGCAATCCAAACAGAGACAGAATGCTGTCTTCAGAGTCCAGCAATGTGTTTCTGGCCAGTGGGGTAGATGATGGGTATGAGATGGAGCAGAGATTTAGGAGCGGGGAGAAATTTAGTGAACCTAGAAACTCAAACGGAAGAGAAGAGGACTCGGCAGCAGGGGATGAGGAAGTGATTAATGCAGAGCAACAAGGGAGAGAAAATAAGTCGATCTTCTGTACAGTTGGGCAAACTGTTTCCCGGTCAAAAACCCACGAGGTGTCACTGTCACAAGATAAAGAGGGAGGGGTGGAAATATATGACACAAATATAGACGATCATCAGTGGAGAAGTGATGAGGACACACGTAAACCTCAGCACCACCCGACACCAAAAGGAAGGAATCAGCAGCCAAACACGACAAGAGGAGAGAGCCTCACTTCAGGAGACCCAACGGGAGATGGCTGTGCAGCACCTGTGGACCTTCAAGACAAAGAAGTTGAAGAGATAATGAGAAAGAAGCCACTGCCCCCTGATATGGGGATAAAGAAAAGAGACTCAAAGACCGAAAGGCTCCTAGAACAATGGAGAGAGAAGAACGACAGAAAAGAGGATCAAGCATCTTGTAGTGATCTTCTTCATTGCAGCAGCTCAGATCAAATTCAACCTGAGATAAATACTGAAGCAATGAGTGCAGAGGAGGTGGAGGCCATACGTATGCAAATGAGCGGGATATGGATGGCTCCTGAGCGAACCAAGCGGCGTTCTGATGCCCCTCACCTTAAATGGGCCACAAGTATAGTTCGTGAGATCCTGGGACACTCTGGTGAACAGACAGAGGATGAACCAAATTCGGGGGCAGAAGAAAACCAGCCTGTCATGCAGACTGTGAATGATGAGCATCAAGAAGAGGCTGAGCGCAAGAGTGTGAACTTGCCTGTTATGACTCTGACAACAGATGATCAACAATCAGAGCCAGATCTGGAGGAAGAAGAGGAGGAGGACGACGACTTCGATTTTAAAGGTATGCGGCAGACCCAAAGCAACAAGCATGCTAACCAGTTTACAGTTATGCATGTTGTAACACACACACACTCACTCACTCTGACACACTCTTTAACGGTGTAGGGAAGGAAGAATACATTTTGTAGCAAAGGACAGAAATGGGGAAGGCAGATTTAGCTGAGTTAAAAGAAGCAACTGAAGAAGAGATGAATATAAATCTAAGTGTGAGCAAGACTCTCTCCAAGCCTAGAAGCTGTCCCGTTCTTAGTTATAAATCTGAATCTGACCTCCTGACTCTCCCTGGAGAAGGTGAGAACCAAGAGGTGCCAGATGAAAATGGGCAAAAAGTAGAAGAAAGACCAGGAGACAAGACAGTGCACATAAGAGAGGAGATCTTGAAGAGCTCCTGCAGTTTTCAGGATTCTGGTCCTGAAATTCGTTTACGAAGAATGAGGATCCGTAAGACCAAAGAGAGATGGAACAGAGAGCATGTTGATGTGGAAGAAGAAGAAGGTGTTGGAAGAGATCGCAGAACGAGAATATTTTCTTCCTCAAGTAAACCAGAATACCGACTGGGGAAAACTAGAAACATCTACTCCAATCCATTAATCATTTTAGAAAGCTCAAGAATCACCTTCTATTCACCTCCTATTTCTTGTCATTTCTTAGGCGTGATTGCTTCCGCAACGCAAATCCTAATCCAAATTTCAAATCAACACTCAGAGATCTCTGAATCTTTTTATTGCTTCTTCTGTTTTCTAGTCTGAATGACATTCACTTCCTGTCGTGGCGATCATAATCTCAAAGCTGTTATCTGCATCTTGTCTTTGTCAAACGTCCAGAATTACGTAGAGCTTGAGTGCTTACCAGAATAGGAAACTATGTCAGAGGGTTATAATTGCAGTCAGTGGAAATTACAAGAGGTGGGGAAAACCACAGGTGTGATTTAAAAGGGACAAATCATCAGTGATCCTTTCAGACACAAGAGTAGCATGAGCTCTGGAAACAACTAAATCTATATTTAATCTAATTTATTTTCACGTTTTTCATATTTATTACAAGTTTTATGTATTTTGGTTTTGGAAACAGTCTTAAATTATTTAAAATGTTACTTTGTAATCCTGCTACAAATGTATACTTTCTTATTCTAGATGATAATGATATTCGGAGTAGAAGCTGCGGAGAGACAGATCTAAGGTGAGTTTAGCAACATTTAAATGATTCTTCAAATATATTTGTGTCAAAAAAATATAAGCAACGTAGTAGTCATTGAAAAATTTTAGTTATTCATTATTTTAGTCTAGCATGAATTATCTCTGAAGCCTTGAGTTTGTTTTGTTACAACTGAGGTTTTAGGCAGGTGTTTATAAATGGGCTGAATTAACATGTTTTTTTTTACTTCCATTCACTTGCAGGAATGCTTTGAACTCAATTGGAAGACGGAATAGGAAAAGTTTTTACAGTGAGTATTTGAGTTTTAGCTTTTATCTTGTTTACTCATATTATTCACTTTCAAAATAAGTCTAGCGCAATGTATAAAACAACACTGTGGTCTGTAATTACTTTCAAAGTTTACTTTCTGTCAGTCAAGCGTTCATAGAGTAAATTTAGGATAACAGTGAATTTCAGGGGTCCTGACAGGACTGCAGATCACATCAGATCTGGCTGCGTTGACGGAAACCATGACATGGTCATGCATTTCCCCTCAGAGAGTGTGACTCATTTCTGTGTAAATCCAAACCCACTGAGTATTTATCACTTAATCATTTCACGTCAGTGTGAAATTTTCACTCACATACACAAGAAAAGGCAAATGTGTGTCAGTTAGTTTACTGTTTAGGTCACACATCTTTATAAACTGAAGTAAGTAATTTGACATGGAAGCAGTTTGCTATCTACTGGCTCACATGGCTCTTGCGAGAATGTGTTTGTGCTTGATCTGTATATAAATTAGGTTGTGCAAGCCTCTGCAGGTTTCTGCAAGTGCTCATCTGTGGCTGTGACTTTGCATTCCAATATGCAGGAGTAAAAGAGTTCTCTAATTTTGTAACGCTTATAGTTTGGGCTTAAAGTATTTCCAAATAGATTTAGATTTCAATATTTTTCAATATTTTTTATTCAACCAATACATTTGTACCTAAGTGTGAATGACATAGACAACTCCCAAAAGACACAAAAATAATGTTGAGGAGTTTCTTTTGCTTTTCTTTCAAAAGTCATGTTGAAAATGAAATCTACCTTTCTCAGAAGCCTTTCCTAGAATTATGGCGCTTCTCATAGTGACTCATAATCTTTTTACATATCTCCAGTGGTTTTTCTTTTTATTAAAATGCTTTTATTATAAGTCTTTGAGGTTGGTCTGTCCAACCATTTGAGGTTGGTCTGTCTCCATAGATTCTCAGGAGTCTAGTTCAACCATTCCAAGCATTATTTGTTGTGGTGTATTTTTATTTTGGCTATTTGTCTCTCTTCCCTGGGCTGTCCCTTGAGTCAATAACAAACAGACGAACAAAAAAAACAAGCTTCCGTTTTGTTTATATAAGACACAATTTGAGATTTCAGAAACCTTTAATATAGTTGTGAAAACTCAGAAAATGTCAATTTCAATTATTTTTTGGGGAATTAGGTACACTTTAGATATACACAGGCAATATAGAAAAATGTCTCTGATAAATTATGTGTATAGAGGTATATTGTGGGGGAGAAGAAAGTAGGACATTTGTCCAATAACTGTCATTACTTTAAATTTGCTAAACGGCTGAATAACTTTCAGCATATCTGTGTCTGTCTATATCAGTATAACATTTCCCCTCTTTCCTTCAGATCGTCCTCAACTCTATCAGCAGTACAATGAGGAGACTCAGAACATCGAGATTCTGCGTCAGTCTCGCTCCGACACCCTCTCAGTGAGCGAGGGAAACAATCGCTCCCCCTTACCTTCACCTCCACCCGCTCACAGACCGCTTCCTCCTTTACCGCCTTGCCCACACCCTCATTCCCTGACCCACTCATTATATGCTCCAGTCAGTGCCCAAACCTTGTCTCTTCCGGACCGACCGCAGAGCGAACGCAGGGCCTCCTCTCCAAGTCTGTCCCTCTCACTCAAGCAGTCGTCTTTACTTTGGCGGGATCTGCCCAGCGTCTGTCACAACCCTGAGCTGGAGAGGCTCACAGAAGATCAGAGGCGACTACAGGAGGTAAACATCGAACCACGCATTAGGAACACGGTCCATATTTGATGGTTCATGTCTGTTTGTGTAGAGCAGATAACAGTTCTTCATTCTGATTCTCTTGAGTTTGACTTTGTTTCAGTCTGATGAGTCCCTAAGTGCTTCACAAAAGTTAGGAAGATAGTTTCTCATTGTCTTTAATTGTCTATTCATTCTCTTTAGCATGTGAACATTTTATCTGGACTTGTTCAAGAATTGTATTAGCAAACAGTAATCTGCTCTCCAATCTCAGGAAATTCACCGGAAACTACTGACTCAAGAAACTGCCAAACAGCCTCTCTCATTTCTTTATAAAGACTCTTGAGACTCACCAGTCATTTTCATTATTCAAACCAGACAAATGTCTAAAATGTGAGTTTTCTGACTAATACAGCAGCTGCCTTTCAACAATTAAATTCCCACATGATCATTGGACTTTAACTTAGAAAGCTTATTTTTCTCACCTGCCCACTTCAGTTGATCTGCTAAATTTTATGATTAGAAAATCTAAACTTTATTTTTGACATTAGAATGACCTCTTTCAAAATAGTAACTTGATTTCTCAAAATTTTTATTTTCTCACAATTCGATTGATTGATGTTCTGTTTTGTTTACAAAAATACCATTGTCACTATTTTGTAATTCTATTAAAATAGTCACTTCTTATCAATACACACAGTTATATATTTCAACTGTGTATTTTCTTCTGATTAATGTGATGACTGTGCATCATAGCTAATGAAGAAATGTAACAGAATACTATAAAAAGTCAATGAAAATAACAATTTTCTAATCCAGACACAGAAGTGTACATATCACATGTATACATAGAAATATATTTCATGGTGTATCTTACACAGTCACAGGGAATACTGTAAATTAACTGGTGTTGCAGAAGGCAAATTTAATATTTATATTTCACCTTTTGAATCAAATTACTGAAATAAAATAAGAAACATCTGAAAAACTAATTTCAGATGTTTAAACTTTTCAACCAGATCCACACACCATTTAGATGAAAGCAACATTATGTTTTCAAAAAGAACATTGTTCTTGGAAAAATGTAATTTATTAATAATAATATGATTGATTTGTTTTGCACCCTGCTGTTTTATTTATCTATTTTTCCCATTCTAATATGCTTTTGTGCTCTGGCGGTAATCGGAGACTCTGCCTCTTTTCTTTTGAGGATTCATTTCCTTGTCCTTGTTCATACTTGTTGCGCCACACCTCAAACTCCTGAATTCACACACATCATACTGGCTTACCACATTGCAGAATAACCCTTCAACTGATCCACTATTTTATTAGCTGTGACTCTGGCTGGAAGATTTCATTGCATTACTTGGAGTTGCATTTCTTTGATTGCATCAGCTTTTACCAGTACATATTAAAAACAAGAAGGTTGATTAGTCATTTCAACTATATAAATACAAACAATCATTTACTTCTTTTAATCAGTTCCATGTTTTCCCCTGTTTTATTTTACTTTTGCATACCAGGTGAGATTTGAAGTGGTGACCTCGGAGGCCTCCTACTGCAGAAGTTTGGACATTGTTGTTGGACATTTTGTCAAGAATAAAGAGCTAGAGAAGCTGCTGACAACTCAGGACAAGAACTGGCTGTTTTCCCGTCTGACTGAAGTTCGGACCATCAGCCACAGGTTGGATTTTTTTAACAATGTTGTCAATCAAATTTTCCATCCATTAAATGGTGCACTCAACTCTGAGTTGAGTGCACCATCTCAACTATGAGTTGAGTTGAGTGCACCATCTAAATGGTGTTGTGCATAATATTGATTGTGTAATCCTCGCTTTTAAGTGGGGAAAAAAATATTATGAGACTAAAAAGGTGAAAGTTGTTTCTTTATAATGTTTGTTTCAGATTTTTATCAAAGCTGGAAGAGCGCGTGGAATCTGATGTTTTGCACTTTACAGTGTGTGACATTATTGCTCAGCAATGTCGACGCTTCAGAAAGGTTTATGTGCCCTACCTCACCAACCAGTCATATCAGGATGCCACATACCAAAGACTCATGTAAATAGTTTGTCTTTTAATTTCTTCTTTATGAGATTGATATCCCATAAAATCCAACTAATGATATTTTTTCTATGCTGCGTTTAGGAATGAAAATCCTCACTTCAAGCGGATTGTGGACAACTTGGAGAAGAGTCATGTTTGTCAGAGGCTTCCTCTCCGTTCCTTCTTGGTGCTTCCGTTCCAAAGGATCACCAGAATTAAGCTGCTGGTCCAGGTAAACAAACACCATTGATTATTTAATCCAAATGTTTTACCTTATCTTTTTAACCTGATCCACATGCTTTTTCTGTGTAGAATATTGTAAAAAGAACGACCCCTGGAACAATGGATGCAGAAAACACCATTAAAGCTTTAACACAATTGGAAAGGGTACAAAAACTCCCTGCCTTCACAGTATCTTTACACAGTCAATAGTTGCTGCATTTAACTTTAGAAAGTAGAAGTGCAAACGTCCTTGTTTTTTTCTTTCTGTTTTAGATCATTCAAGAGAGTAATGACAGCATCGCTGAAATGAAAACCATTGAGTCTTTGGTATCGCTAAGTGGCAAAGTGGAGTTTGTTGATTGCAAGGTGAGCAACCATTTACTCAGCCTTTACATTTATAAACCCATAAACAGATCTATGAGAAGCTTAAGTGTCTTCACATGAGTTTTGGTGCCTCTTTTTAAATTCTAGTATTTCTGACTGAAAATATGCATGTTAAACAGCTAAAATATGTCGAGTTAAGTGTGTTAACTTCCAACCAATTTACTTTTGATTAAATACATATTCATCGAAAGTCTTCCAACACCTCTTATTTTTTTACAAATTTGATTTACTCTTTAACAAATTAACTTTACCATTCTTTGCTGGTTAGTAAGGACGACAAATGACAATAGTGGTTAAATTTGAATCAAGACATTTGTTACAAAAATAAACTAGCAAATATTGGATTCTGACCCTGAATGAATAGCTAATAATATATACAAACGAATAGAATTGAATACATTTTTGATGACTTATATTTACTCTACAAAATGTCTTTTTATAGAGTACAGGATGCATTTGTAGCTAATTTGTTGAAAACTACATTATTCTTTCTGGGAGTTAAACTTTATTGGCTCATTAGCAACTTAACATGAGAAAGGATTATTTACCTCTGCTTGATTGCTCAGTTGTTGTTGAACACATTTTCTTGGTTGGTCCAGTCTGTCATAAAAAGGTTTTATTTTGTAGCATCAAGCCACACATTATGAACACTTTGCAAATTCACATAACAGCCGAGTGACTTAAATTAGGACCCTATTAGCGGAAAACTAATTGATGCCATGGCTTTATTTCCTGGTTATGTTTCAGACTCTTCCTCTCGTCAGTCAAAAACGGCGGCTGGTGAAAGAAGGTCCCATCACTCAACTGATGGATTTCTCTCTAAAGCAAGCAGAGAGAACCATTTACTTACATCTCTTCAATGACTATCTGCTAGTATCAATACAAAAAGAGTGAGTCAGCAAACAGATAATTTTGTGTTGTCATCAAATTTGATCACTATCACCATCTATTGTAGCCTGTTATCCTCATATCTGCCTCTGTTCATCATGTGTTTAGTTTTTCACGTTGTTTCTCTTCCGCTGCCTTACTTGTGTGATTTTTGCTGTGTGCCTTCCGTAGAGGGGGAAAGTTTACCGTCATCGATCACTGCCCTGTGGAGGAACTGCGTACAGAAGACTTCCGAGTCAAAATCCTGACCCTGCAGAAGAACAGCTTCCGCTTACACTTATCACAGAATTCCTTGCTGCTAAGAACTGAGACAAAGTAAGAGATTGCACAGAGGACATCTGTTTGGTTTCCTGCACTGTTAAAGTTTGATAATTTATGCATTATTCACTACATTTTCCCAATCAGGAGTGATAAGCTGCGCTGGATATCTGCCCTCTCCAGGAATTGTCCTACAGTTGATTTTTCTACTGCAGAAAGTAAGTTTTATCTACGACATCTGCATTCATGCATCAGGTACATCTCAGTAGATTTGAGAAGTTTATGTATTTCAGAAACTCAGTCCACTAACTATAGCAGATTTTAGGGATCTATTACATGCACATTAATACTTTCTAGCCCTTTATTCTGCTAATTTGAGTGATGTTTTTTTCTGACAATTAATGAAAACACAGGAAATTACATAAATATATAAAAGATTTTTCATAGAGATTTGTTAGTTTAATATCAGCAGGAAGGTTGTTATTTCCAAAAGGTACTTTTAATTAGACAAACAAGCCTCACTGGGTCACATATTCCAATTTAATGAGATGCATGAAGTAGTACATTTTTGTGAGAATTGAATAGACATTTTGGGTTTTCAAATGTGATTTCAGAATATTCAATATGAATCATAATGTAAATACAATGAATTAATATAAAAACTTGTGATGTTTCTATATTGTGATGCCCTTTCCCCCTTTTGAGGCTGATACAAATTGTAAAAGAGGCATAAAATCTACTGACAAACATAAAAGGAGCCATCTTCATCAACTAAAATATTTACATTTAACTAATTAAGCCTCTTAGATTGTGCATTATTTTATTTGAGAATAATAATAACTAATAGCACTTTATTCTGAATCTGCTTATTTAATAACATGGATTACACCATTGAAAATCCAAACTTTTGCTCCAGTCAGTAAAACTGACATTGCATTTTTCTGACCTCTGGTGGATAAACAGTTGCTCATTTGTACGTGGTACAGCCATTTTTCATGAGTGTTGATGTCAGTAATTTGCACGTTGCCCAGAGGGGGTTCATTAGCAACCAACCATATGTTGTATGTAGTGTAGCAAAAATACAGAGGGAAAACTGGGATTCACTTTTGCCGGGTTTTGTAATATACTGTGGGTAGAGTTAAACTAAGTTAAGAAAATAAAAAGACTGAAGCACAACAATTAAATAACTCAATGGAGCAATTCTAAAATTGTGCAGATGCTAATAATACTGTAAAACACAGTATTTGTGTCCCAAATGGAGATTTCCATTTACTTTCTACCTGTTACTTTTTTTCACCGTTATGCCTATGAGAACCCTGGATATTTTGTGTAAACTTTCCTGATAGTTAACGTAGTCTGTTAATTAAGTAAACCTGGATATGTTAGGGTGTAGATTCTGCTGCTTTCTCATTATACAATACTATGAGGTCATAAAACATAAATACAAAAACAAGAAAAACCTAAAACAGACCAATTTTAATAAAACATGGTCCCCAATTATTAATAAATTATTTAAAATTATTTATTTGCTTTTCCTCCAGATTTAGCACAGATGCAATGCATCAGAGCTTATGTTAGTCAGCAGCCGGACGAGATGTCTGTAGAAAAAGCAGACATCATTCTGGTTCACCAGGACAGCGGAGACAGTAAGACAATACCTTTCTTTCCCCATGTTGATGAATTGCTTTCTTAGGATTGAAACGATATGTGCATACAGTGCTGTGAAAAAGTATTAGGTCAACTTCAGATTCCTTCTGTTTTGTCCACATTTTAATTGCTCAGAAATCCAAAAAAATTGAATTTAAGAAAATTACTTTGGATTTTAGTCAAAAATGTAGGAAATATCTTTCTAGACATTTCTATTCCCTCTTCAGTTGTATGTTGTTTTGTACCTTAAGATCAGGCCTGATCTGTTGCTTTTGAAGCCTACTTAGAGTTGTCAGACAGGTTTCACTTAAGCGACTTCTTGATGCCACATGTTGGTAATGAGTAATGAGGCCTTGTCAACTTCTAAAACAATGTGTTTAATCCCAATCAAAGAGTTTCATAAACACACAAATATTTCTGCACAGAACTGTAAATTGAGATTATTTTGCCAGTTTGTTCACACTAGATTGTTTTTCTCTGCAGATTGGATAGCGGGGATTAGACTGTCGGACCAGCATTTTGGATGGGTGCCCAATTCCCATTTGCAAGTCATAAGCAACGACAAAGTCAAGAAGCGCAACCTGTCGGATGCTCTCACGCTGACAAAGGCTAAAGCTGCTGTCTGAGTACGACACTAAGAGTGGCAATGAGTTGATGGATGTCCTGAATGGAAGTTTCTCCGCTATGTGCATTTTTCTACTGAAAATGGACCATAACTACTTTGACATTTCTCTTTGTTAACTGTTCATGACAGTGCATTGGCTAAAGAAAAAGTTGGAAAAATTCAACTAAGTGCAGAATTAGGCCTCACTTGTTTCACTATGTGGAATAATAATAAAAATCAGGCCTGAGAGTGAGTCCCCATTTACACTCTCAATGATTACCTGACATACTAAGTGCCTTGCTAACATTGAGGATTTCAGTGTACACACATATCTTAAATTTTTTTATTTCCTTTTTTGAGAAATATTTTGTCAAGGTACGAATTGTTTGTATATGATGACCAAGGAAATAAAAGTGTTTTTTGTTATTTTTAAAAAAGAATCTATGTATGCATGGGAGCAGTCAGGTATGCATTCTTAACAACACTTCAACTATGTACAGAGCTTGAACCAAACATTTAAATAAATTCATGAAATAAAGAAATGTCTGATCCCTGAATATGCATTGATTTGGAGTTGTTCACCATTTATCAAATATTTTTCACTATTTTTTATTGACTGAGAGACAGTGCTTTCCAAAAATATTCATACCACCTGAAAGGTTTTACATTTTTTTAAAACAAAGATCAGAAAAGTTTTTTTAGTATTCTTCTGTCCAAGTCAACTTTTTGTGGAACTACAGGCTGCGGTGTGAAATAGCAGATATTAGAGGATTTATCTTTGCACGTCTAAAAACGGTGTCCAATTTTTTATTTTTTGGAAATAAGCTAAAGGGGGATGACTGTGAACAGCAAGTCTTACATCAAACTCTAATCTAATCTAAACTCTAATCTTACTCTAATCTAAACTCTAATCTTACTCTAAACTCTAATCTAATGAATTTTGGTCTGGACTTTGAATGAGCCATTCTCACACTTGAACATGCTCAAGCATATCTAACAAACCTCTGAGGCCTTCACATAAAATATGACTGCAGTTATACAGAGTTTAAATTATGCAGAGGTGGACTGTATTTAGAAAAAAAGGGACAAATTAGGTACTCGACTGCATAGCATTTTACAGGGGAGTGATAAAGTAAAAGTGGGTGAATACAGATAATCACACGTTTTTAGTAAGTTTGGTGTACAATAGTAAATAATATGCCATTTTCCTTTTACTTTAGACCTTTTTTCTATCCTATGAAATCCTAACAAAACATATGTACATTTACCAAATCAGAAAAAGAGTAGTTTTTGCATTCCAGTGTAACTGGATGAGCTCTGCAGGAGCTGTGTCAGAACAAATTGTGAACAGTTCAGACAATGAAAAAAATGGTACACGGCCAGGCACGTAGTCTGCCTTAGGCGTGACTGTGAACTTGGTTCCTCGCTCGGCTTGGCTCGGTTTCCAGGATTTCCTACTGGATCTGCGTCCTGCCACTGACGGAAAACGGGCTGTGGCTGCTCCAGACTAGCAACCAGATCCAACCAATCAACGCAGAGCAATCCGCCTCCATCTTTCCTTCTATTGGAGACCTATTGGTGTCAATCAAATATCTAATCTGTGATTGGGTGATTTTGTTTGAAGGGGCGGGCACTGACGTATTTGTTGTTTATGTTCAGCAGAATAAGTGGAGCAGTCGACATCTTTGAAGGCAGGTTCTTACTTGTCCGCTTTGAGACTTTAAGTCATCACAGTGCTTGTTTTGAGGGACTTTACGACCCAGAATACTCCTGGAGTATATCTGTGTTTGAACTGATTTGAGCGATTCTTGTTTTGTGGTCGTTTCCTAAAGGTACGTAAGAAGCAGGAATGTTTGTGAAATCATTAGCTAACGGTTGTTACTAGCTAGCACCTTAAACTTCATAATACTGACCTTAGCAAAAATCTTGTCGTAAGATTTAACCTCCAACTGTCTGGTATTTGGTGACAGATAATCATAAACGGTCATATGTTTGCTGTAAGCCAGTTTTATGAAGAAAGCGAGCTATCTGATCTGATTGTTGTTGTTAAGAGTGACGTGGCGTCACTCCTCCATCATACCAGAAACACAAAAATCTACTTTCATCTTCCCCACAACAGCTCAGACCCTAATTAGAAGAACCCACTTATGAAGTGACGAACACCTGGGGACATATACGCGTTTATGTCTCCAATCTGCGTGGATACTAGAAACTGCCTTGCTTTCATTTGTTATTCCTCTCTGGGTCACTTCGCCCTTTTACCACCACTCACCACCGTTTCCTGCATACGCATTGGCATTTTGTCCATTCCTTCTGCAAATTTGGATCTTTAAATATTACGTTTGACCGTGCATCAGTTCCAATCGTTCCCTTTTCGACAACAAACCATTTAAATGTATATCGTCTTCTTGCAGTCTGATGTAAGGCAATGCTGGGTGAGTCCAGTAAGTGATACTTTTGCACAGTAGGTTGCTTAGAGTTCTTAGTGCTTATAATCTTTTTTTTTTTTTTTAATATAAGACAACTTGTCAAAATTGGATTTTAAATCAAACTGGGGTCTTATACAAAGATTTCAGAAAATAATATAAATTGTAAGTAAATTCTATATAAAATTGAAGCATGTCCATGAATATTTATCTCAGTTTCTTTATAACTATAAATAAAGTGACAAAACAACGGTCTAAATGGGTACGAAATGGAAATGATAAGGGGCCAAAAGACAACATAAAGGTTCAATTGTTGGACTTGACCATAGCATTTCAGTATATTTTGTCTTTGCTTACTTGAAAAGTGGACTTAAGTTGTCATAAAAATGTTGATAATTTCACATGCAGCTTAATTTGACTGTTTTATATTATCTGAGAACTTTAACAGATTTTGATTTAGTTGTCAAATAGGTACAGAGCGCCCTCTTGTGGGTACGAAGCTTCCCGCTGCAGAGGCAACATTTTGAACTGACCCCTTTTTAATGTGCGGCTGTGGAGTAAAACATAAATAACGACAGCACTGCTGTTTATTTCAAAAAGGCTTTGAGGCAGCCTTTAAAGACATTGTTTGGAATAAACTGATCTAGATAGTATATTTGATTAAATCAAAATAATTTTTATTTTGCAACATTTAATTTACTGACAGTTATTATTGGTGTTGCTCTTTAGTGTAATTAAGTTAGAAATGTATTAATATACACATTTGAAAGAATCAAGTACAAAAAATACTTTTTTTAAAAGTAAATGTAGATATGTCTGTTAATAAGAGCATTAATTAAATAACTGTTTCCATAATAATTTGCACTCTTGTCCTGCAGTGCATTGTAAAGTTACTAAAAAAGTTATTATGGCTCATTAAAGGCCCTAACATTGGTTAACCTTTATTAACATTAACTTTTTCATTTCTTTAATCCGTGTATTTTCAATTCAGCTTAAAAGACCTAAATGTTTAATGTTGTTTTAATTTTAGCATCACATTTCCTAGGTGAGAAATATGAGATATGCTCTATTACAAAATTTTAAAGTCTGTCATTTAAAAAAAAAAAGCAGTTTAATAAAAAACTACATACAATGGATGCAATCATGAACTGAACTGCGTGTTATGGAAATATGTATTATAAAAGTGTTATTTATTAATACTGCATTTAATATTACATAGCAGCGATTAAGCCAGAGCTATCCAACAAAGTTATGAATTTAATTCATGGTGAGAGATGAGTAATTGCAATATAACCATTTGCAGTAGCTTGTATAATGTTGCATCTACTGTGACCTCTGCAGTAAGCTTGACAGCTTTCATAATGACTTTGGCTCAGTGACACTGCAGTCAGGCAACGCTGCTTCTACCTTGTCTGCTCAGTAAATAAAGCTGCTGTTGTGAACTTTATTTGGTCCTGTGCTGCTGTTTATTTTTTATCTATTTTTTGTTTTTAGATGGGCAGTCAATATCAGCGCTCTGTACCGCTGGAGGTGAGGAGAGCAGAGGGAGAGAGAGTTCGAGCCAAACATCCTGACAAGATACCAGTGAGTAAAACTGATAATCACCTTGATACAATGTCAGTCTTGAATGAACTTATGATGTCTGTTGTTCTGAGTATCATTTTCAGTATTATTGAAATAATAATGAAAATGAAAATGATTTACTTTTCATGCATTATTGAAAAGTAAACACAATGAGTTGCTTTTCTAATCTGTGTCCATTAATTTGCAGATCATTGTGGAGAGGGCGTCAAGGTCACGCGCTCCTGAGCTCGACAAGAAGAAGTACCTGGTGCCGTCGGATTTAACAGGTGATAGAACATAAATCACAAACTACATGGATAAAACCACATTGCTGACTTCAACGTTACTTACTTTCACTTCCTCTCACTTTAAACGAAACAAACGTTTGCTGACCTTCTTCTTCGTCTCCTTCCTCTTTTTTTTTCTTTTTTCTTTTTAGTGGGCCAGTTGTGCTTTCTGATTCGTCAGCGTATGTCTTTGAGGCCAGAGGATGCGCTCTTCTTCTTCGTCAACAACTCCCTCCCTCCATCCAGCTGTCCACTCTCGACTGTATATGAGGTAACTCAGACTGAAACTAGGTTTAGTGTGATCATTCTCGTTGTGACACGCATCCAAAGCCATTTCTGCTTCTACTTTTTCAGAATCCTAACTGATACACAATGCTTCTGCTCAAAACACTAAAAATGTCTGGCTTTTCCCACAAGGAGGAATAAATTACTTTTTAAATGAAAACAAATAGCATAAAATGCTCACTATGTTAATCTTTTTCACAACTTTAAAATATCTGCTTATGACCACAAATACAACAGTAGAAGGTGAATTAAAGCAGCTTTGAGGAAAAGCAGCTATGGGATGTAGTAACTCATGAATAATATACGTTTGACATGGATCACTGCCTTTCAATGTCAGACACTGCAAGTTTTTGTTGTTTTGTAGAAAATAAGAGACGTGTTATGTGGACCCCATTCTTACACCATTTGTAAACGACATTGTTGCATTTTCTAAACTGGCAGATATTGATGAATTTGCTTCTGATCTGTTCCAACATTTCTTTGGATCGGGATGTGACATGTTGCTATTTGAGATCTTTTAGGCTACGCCATGTTGTCAAGACTGTTCTTTATTCAGCAGGCCTGCTGGGATTAATAAAACTGAACCCGGCATTTCAAAATAGGTGATTATTTAAAGTTATGAGATTAATTTATTCAGTTCATTCATAATTTACCAAGAGAGTTGACTGTGATTCAGGCAGGAGTTTCAATAATGTTTCGTTTTCCTTTCTAAATGAAATCATGCTTTCAAAATTAGTTTTGGTAATCTGAAACACTTAAATGTTTCAGATTACCAACATTTAAGTTTGTCTAAGAAGAAGTCTGGAAGGGTTAAAAATGTTTTCTTGTTGTATATCTTAATTTAACTAGAAATGGGCTCTCCTTTGGCTTTTTTTCTCCTGTTTCTGTCAACTTGTATGACTCTGCACAATTCCCATGTGACCAATTTTCATGCTAATAATGCATCATTCTGTGCTTGTCTTGCAGGAGCACCGCGAGGAGGACCTGTTTCTTTACATGACGTACAGCAACGAGAGCGTGTATGGTGCCTGAAGCAAAACAAAAGACTGGAAAAGGACTCAGAGGGAGAATGAGAGTAGACAAACTGAGACTGGAGCGAACATTGACAAATGTTTGAGCTTTGCACCCCTTCTATGTATTCGCTTTGACAAGTAACTGCAATTAAAGATGGAAGAAGGACTTTATAAAGGACAAGAAGGGGTCTCTGGATTTGGTTTTACCCTTTGACAGTATTTCAAACCAAGCATGATGCATTTAAAACATTTTAGTTATGTGGATTTATTTCATGGTGGGATGGGAGGGTTTTAAAAGAGTGAAAGCATTATGAAGGGAAGGTAATAATGTGTTGAGACAACTCTCATTATCTTTCTCAGTCACCTGTATTTAATGCAAATAGTATTGTTTTTGTTTTTTGTAAATTATCAGAATTTCCTTTGCGTAAAATAAAGAAAATTCAAAACTTCATATCGTTTTGCGTCTTTATCAAATGTGATGCAGCGCCTTGTGGAACCACTCATGCAGCTGTTTCCACATTTCATCTCATTTTCATTGTTGGTCATTACTCATTAATTTCAGTGGATATCCTCTGGATTTTATACAATATAGAAACTCAAAATAATGCCTAATGAAGTGGAAGGACGAGACATAAAGTTTAGCTATTTGTATAACAATATCAGTGTGTCATGCATTTGTTTCTGAATACAATCATTCTCTCTTTGGGAGCTTTATTAATTTTGAACATTCTTCTACATAATGTTTGGGGAACATCAAACATATTTGTACACTACAATGAATCTCCAGATTTTTTGCAAAATAGCTCAATCTCAAATATTTTAAAATCTTGCAATAGATTCACAAATCCTGGACTTTGGGCCAAAAGTTTAAGAAATGAACATGTTTCGACCTTAACCCTTTTATTGTAGTCCTTTCTGTATGTTTAGTGCTTAAACATACAGAAAGTCTCAAATCTTTTGCAGCTTCCAACTGGTTGTCTTCCTGTTGGCTTTGTTGCCCAGCAATAGGTATGGCTTGGCTGTTCATAATAAGCTGTTCAGTGATTTATAAATTAGTAGACATATTTTAAAGTCTACTCTGAGTGACACCTGAGGTTACATTGGTTTCAAAGGAGCTTAAAGATGAGGCACGTTCAAACCCTTAAAGCTATTTGTCCATTTTATGCATGTGATTTAAGGGAAGGGCGCAATAAAAAATACATAAAAAGAAAGAAATCTTTGAAGGGGAAGTGATGAGTCACACATTGACTGGACATAAGGAACTATTTCTTTCTTTCTCTTTATACTGATTTTTGACATCTAGATATTCACAACTTAGTGTCAGCTGTTTGTTTCTGCATCCTGACAAAGTTACATAACCTTCATTGTGAACTGACCATAGACGTTCTGAGTAAATCGAAAGTTAGGGGTTCAGATCCGAGGCAGCCATGGAGATGCAGGAGATCCCCAAAGAGAGCCCAAAAAGCAGCAGAGAGGAGGGAGCAGGTGAGCCGATGCTGGAGGTGAAAACCCAAGGTGAGCAATGGATGAATTCATTAAAATGAGTGCATTTTGGTGCTCTGGTGTTTACATTAATTGTATGGCAAGAATTTGCACAAGCTCCAGATTTGTCTGTGTCTCTGTCTTTAGAGGAAGCAGAACCAGGCCATTACGAAGAACTGCAAAGTCCATCGGAGGATGTCTATGTAGAAGCCTTTCATCCGACAGTCAAATCAAGAACTGGTATGCATTTATATAAAAAATGTACAGATAAAACTAACTGACAGGACAAATGAGTTTATCCTTTGAGATAAATGTCTGCTGAAGCAACACAACTCCTCATGTTTCAGCATGTTACTCAGTCAAAGTCACCCTTTGTGTTACATCAATAACTGCATTTTCTTTAACACTTTAGCTTTTTGTTATTTAGTATTCATCTCTATTATTTTCATTCTGAGTAGAATATAGTACTAGCCCCAGGTAGTCCTCCAGTTTGGTCACATTTGTTCATTTCTGTTTAGCGTGTGGTTTCACACTGCTGCATAAAGCCATTTTATTTAACCACATGCTGTATTTGTCTAATGAAACTGAACTGTTAGATTTGCATTTTAGCCTTAAATCAAGGTTAATGTGCTCTAAGAACCACAAAAAATAATCAAAATTCTCATAATAATCAAATTACTTTATTTTTAAGAATATAGATTAATCAGATATCAGTTTAGTATGTCAAAAATTACTTGGTGGGCAGTCAGAAGCTAAAAAGGAAGTTTTCTTGAAGACTAGGGTGTTGCTTTTTTTTTGCAAAATACAACAGTATTAGCGACAACTTGGATTCTTTGCACTTTAAATGTAAAGTATTTGGTTTAGTCTGATGAGAAACACCTTTGCATAAATGCTGTCAAAATGAGGAAGAAGGAAAATTCCCCAGACTTCACATTTTATGACTTCAGATTTCACTTAAGACATTAAAAGTTGCATAATAGTTATGTTCTTAAGACTTACCATTTACCTTTGTATATTAAGTATATGAATAAAAATGACTAAATAAATAAACAGCATAATGCCTTCTGTCATTGCATCTATGTCACCTCCTCGGTGCAGTTAGTGATTTTTGTCTGCCACTTACACCTGTTTTTTATACGTGCTAAATATAGACACAAAAACAGCACCCGCAATCTGGTTCTGGTTTAATAAATCCCATTGAGGCGGTAAGTCAGTACATTTCAATATCCTCCTCCCGATACTTTGCAGTTTTCCGATGATCAGCATTTGTTTTGCATATTAATGAAGACAACTCGTTAATAACTTGCTGACACAATCCTTTATGTGTATTATTTCTGAATCAGCTTTTCACATTTTATCAAGTTTGCACCAGATTTTGTGCACAAACCTTTAGAAGATCAGAGCCAATGTATCTCTTGGCTCTGATACATTGAGCCAAATCTGAACCCATTTGATGTTCCATTGTGTGTTGTTATAATACTCTTTGTGGTAATAATGCAGTGGAAATTTCAGGACTGGACTTATTCCACAAGTGGTGTTTTATCATGGCACCACATTGGAATGCATCGAGCTCCAGATAGCAACCCCTTCTGTCACAACTCTTTGTGGAAGCAGTCTGCACACCTAAGTGCTGGCTTTTATTCACCAGCGGCCTTGGAAGTGATTGAAACACCAGTGCCTTTGGCTGCAGAGTGGCAGCAAAGGAGAACTAAAACAAAAGCATCCTGAGCTGTTTTCCAATTTCTGGATACAAAACTCTGAACACAAACTTGTTCTTCTTGGTATACTCTCATTATAAGTGTGACCCAAACACAGACATATGACCTGTAATGAAATATTATTTCTTGTTTTGGAGAAGGAAGCTCTTGTTGCGACATGTTTGGGTTTTGTACTTTCTCACTGTCTGTCTCTCTCACACACACAAGCACATTCTCATTCTTAAAGAAGAAGGCACATAAAGATTAAAGCTTGGGGGCATTCAAGGACAAGCTCGGTGCAATGTGAATAATTAGGGAATTACTGGGAGTTGTCATGGTGCTGCAGTGGGAGGGGGGGTCTCTTTAAATTTCAGCAGAGGCACGCTTGCGTCAGCAGAGCAGGAAACCAGAGCAGAAAAGAGTAAACAAGGATTCTGATATATAGGAGGAGGACTGCTTTCTCCATGTATATCAAATTTTTTCGCAGCTATTTTGAGGATAAAAAAGAGAAACCAGATGAGGCAGAATTGTCTGTGGAGCTGAAGGGGGAGGAAGGTAATGGGTGAAGTGTTTTTTCCACTCTGATGGTGGTCTTTGTTGTGCTCACTGACATTTGGTTTTCCTCTTCAGGCAAACAGGATGAAGGAAAAACAGGACTGTACCGGGTGCTGTGTTTAATCCTCACAGTAATCTGCTTCCTCCTTCTCATTCTGGTTTTTGTCCTCGGTGTGAAACGTGAGTACGCACCGCCATGCATTACTGCAGCTGAAACACACACCTCATGATGACTTAGATGCAATGTAGGGCATTATCTTCATGCAGACAGTAATAACCTAACATGCTTTAGAACGATGAGGTTCTTTGTAACAACAGATTATAGCAGACTGCTGGTATAGCTGCAGGGTGCTGTTCTTGCCCTCATATCTCCTCCCACTGTCCTCTCTTTTGTAGTCAAAACTGGATCCACAGTCTGCTCAGGAAACCGCAGATTCGAGGACCAACAGAGTTCGACATGCAGCCTGGAGGAGTGTCAGAGCCACTTCCCAAAGAGTCAGTTCAACAGTAAGTATAAAGGTGTTGAATACTGAATAAATAAAACCTTCTTTAAGCAAATAAAAACAGCTGATACTTTGTCAGTTATTTAATTTTTTTTGCCTCACCTTTATCTAAAGAGGTCTTGTTCAGAAGTTCAAACTGTGAGCATGTACTTGACAAATAAGAAAAGAGGACAAGTGTGACAAAGTTTCAAGCCTTGAACATTGTCCACAGCAGATGAACAATATTCAGAAGTCATTTAAAGTTTCCATTCAACTGGTAATTTGGGAACAAAGTTGACGAAGATCTTTTTTTGTTTGTGCACGAGTTGTTTCACTGTTTTGTAGTTTGCAGTCTTGTGGGAGTCGTCTGCCATGGGACATTTTGTAGCTATGGATGATTTCAAACCTGTTTTGACAATTTGACTTAAATTGATTTTCTATAATATTCTTGCAATCTCTTGCTATGTGTCTCCAATTCATCCTGTCTACTAAGAGTATGCTCTGAGTTATTTTGTCTAAATCAAGGATTATAATCTGTCACATTTCAATAGAATGAGCTGACCCAAACTGAGATTAAAATTTCAAGAGTTTAAGAAATGTCAAACAATATTTTGGACAATACCTACACATGCCACACATTAAAACTATATTAATAACATCAATATATATATATATGCTAAATACTAGTAAACAGTTTTCTTTTTCATGTTTTTTGCTTTAACTCATCTGTCTAATTTTTCAGAGCTTCCCTGTCGGCAGTGCGCTAGCGGCTGGCTCACCTTTGGAAAATCCTGTTTTTTCCTGTCCACCACCAGACTGACCTGGTTCGAGAGTCAGAAGAACTGCAGCTCCAGTGGAGGATCTCTGGCTATTGTTTCCAGCCAGAATGTTCAGGTTTGCTGTGTGACGATGGTCATTATTACTGTTAGCAGTTTGTTACGTCATAATTATTTTGCACTGTGCATTTTGTGCAAATCCCGGAGACCTTTTTGTCATTTTCCTCTAGAACTTCCTGACAAAGAAAGGGGAACTGAAATATTGGATTGGACTGAGGCATGACGACTCCATATGGAACTGGGTCAACAGCAGTAAGCTGCAGCAGAGGTGATTCTTGAAAAATAACTCACCCAGAGGATTTATTAAACAACCAATCGCTAAATATTATTTTAATTTTATTATGTTATTTCTGCTCATGTCTTGTTTATTTCTGTTTTTGCTATGGCTGATATTTGGAGTCAGATACTGATCAATTCGGCTCGTAATTATTTGACCAGGTGGGGGCACTCAGACACTTTTTATAGAGAAATTAATTTTCAGCACCAAATGAACAGTTAATTACTGAGGTTGAAAAAAAAATAAACAGTAAACATGAGCTTTAACACCATAGAAAAAAAAAAACTCAACTTTGACTTTTATTTCTAATCTTCTCTGTAAAAAGAGCCAAAAAAGAGATTACTTCAATTTTCCAAAAATAATCTCTGTATTTTTTTTTTTTTTACATTTTTCTTGAATCGTTGACATTAATTGTTCTTATGTTTGCAGCTATTGGACTGAATCTGTACAGAATGGAGACTGTGCCTATCTGAACAGTGAAGGCCCAGTCGAGAAGAACTGGGACAGAGCTCCCTGCCAGGCCTCCTCCTACTTCATCTGTCAGCTGCAGTTCTGATGGAAACTGTCTCGTCAACAATCGTCTTAATAGCAACACAATCAGCAGCTTGTTCTCACGCCACAGTCCAATCATATCCAAGGTTCTTAGATATAAAATATATTAAATCTATGGTCTGAATTTAATGTATGCCATCAAGTTCTATTTGCATCGTGTCATATATGAGTAATACTTCAGTGGTTCAACGTTTATAAATTGTATTTGCTGGGTTTATCTCTAGAAAAAAAAAACAGTTACAGACTCCTGTATCATTAATCTTAGACATATTACACTGAGATTGAATAAAGCTCAATCTGCTCCTGTAACAGCCTAGGAAAGCTTCTTTTCCAACAAAATATCGGATTCCGTTTTATTTGCATTCTTTGCATTCAGTTATTTTCATCTGTTATTTTCATCTGATCAGTTTTCCCATGTTTCACTCTTAGTTCTATTCTTTGTGATATTTAGTTAGATTAATTTCCTGGTCTCTCCAGTCTCAAATCAACCTGCTAGCTAATCAGTGCAGGTGTTTTGTTCCAGCATTCACCATCACACTATTTAAACCTTTCTCCTGCTCACATTCCTTGCTGGTTCCTCCAGTTGGATTACTGTTTTTGTTTTGACTCCTTGTGATTTTAATATATTTTGTTTTATATGTAATTTTTTCATTAAAACATTCTTTACCAGCAAGTTGCCTCTCCGTATTTGTGTCCTTCATCAACCAACCTACAACATGACACAAAGCTCACTAAATAACATGGTAGATTAACATGGTTCTGTATGCTCATGTGCTATAAGTTGAATGAAGTGAAGTGTAGAACAAGATTAGTGGTTCCCCAACGATGTAAGTTTGTTCTAAATGATTAGCTTAAATTTCTTTACCAGTTGTTATTCATAGGCAAATTTGACATATTATTGCACAACAAGATGTAAGCAGGCCCTGGGATGCAGGAATGGGACCATTTCATGGAGACCGTCCAAAGGGCTGAAGAAGAAACCAATAGGTGAAAAGAAGACAATCTTTTAATAACCTGTCAAGATGAAAAGAATAAATACTTACAGGTGGAAAAAACCAATGAGAACAATGAAACTCAGCCACATAAACTTTGTCGGGTCTCCAAATATAATCGAGGAGGAAATGAAAGAAAAAAGTCAAAACAACACTTGTGAGTAGATCACATTACCAGATTGTATGTATTAACTGGACATGCCTTGATTCTAATCATTCCATTGGAGCTCTGCGTGTTTTTCAAATGATTTCCTCTAGTATTTTCCTCTGTTTTACTCAATCCACCTTCTACTGCAATGCATCTCTACCATGTTCCTGTGGAATAGCACACACCCACGGGATTATGCTGCCACTACCATGTTTCAGTCATGGGATGGTGTGTTGGGGGTGTTTGTTTTTTTTGTTTTTTTTCCACATGTAGGGTTTTTCATCAAGGCCCGACTCTTAAACTTGACTTCTTATAAATATCCGACACCACAAATAGCTGAGGGTTTTGGTTCCTGCAAGTGAAGAACATGACATTGCATCAGCCAAAAACCAGACACAGAGCCATCAACTCAGCTTCCTTCTAGCATCTCACAAGCTCTGAACAAACACACTAGTGTGTGTTCAAATCGTTACATTGATAGACCAGATCAACGTAACGATTGGTCCTTAGCAGCACCAAGGACCCATCGTTTATTCTGGGAAAAACATTACAAACAACAGCAGAAAAAATAAATATATTTTTTTGCTTTTGCGTCAGTGATGGAAAGGAAAATACAGTGAACATCAGTGCTTAGTTTGTTTACATGCAAGTAGCAGAATCCCCTCACCCCCCACTGAAAACAGTGAATAATTTGAAAATAAGCAAATAACAAAAAAGGGGAACATTATAGCAAATGACGGCTTCAACATCTGAGTCAGCTTCATAAGGAATTAACTTGTCTAGAAATGTTTGGAGGACCAACAAAACTAATACATGTGCATCACAATAAAGTCATTGAACTTTTAAGTAATACCGATAAATACAATTTTAATTTAAAACGTATCCGTTACATACCGTAAATTCATTACATGAACTGATGCATTTAATGGGTTTATTTCTGTTAGTCTGATGATTATGGCTAATGAGAAACAAAAATTCAGTGTTGAGAATGTTAGATCAGATCAATGCAAAGTTTGAACTGAAAAAGCAATGCTTCCTTACATTTATTGCATATAAATGCCTCTAATTGTGGCAGGACTGATACTTTATTAAACAAAGCTAATTATTCATATTGCATTGTTGAGATGTGCATCTAGAGCAGCTGATATGCATTGCCTTTTAGATCAAAGGGTTAGAAACCATTTTGAGACTAAAATATATCATTAACTTTGCTCCTATTTTTCCTTAGAGAAGATAAGAAGATCTTTTGTCATGTTGTCAGATGTGTCCTTGATTTGTGGTTTTCTTTATATAGTGTTTTGCATATTTAAAAAAAAACATTTACTTCAAGATATCAGACTGGAAAGAGCTGAATGGACACACATAATACTTTGCAGATATTTAATTGCAATACGTCTCAAAAACAATGCCTTTCATTTTCACAGTTCTTCATTATGTATAGCAAAATATCTCACAGAACTTGAGGTTTTTAAGTGGTAAAAATTACAAATAAAGTCCTAGGGGGTAAATGATTTCATAGCATTTTAAAAGATTTTTCTTCTCTCAGTCTTTCCTCTGAATAAAAAAACCTTGATTATTATCACACATTGAACTGCTGTCAAGTGAGCTAAGAGATGAGGCAAGTTCAAACCCCAAAAGCTATTTGTCCATTTAATACATGTGATTTAGGGGAAGGGCGGAATTAAATAAAATAAAAAGAAATGTGTAAGGGGAAGTGATGAGTCTTCTCTGAAATGAGTCACACGTTAACCGAACATAAGGAGCTTTTTCTTTATAACCAATTTACCTTATACACATTTGCAAATTAGCATCATTCTTCATTTGTGTTTGAACGTTGAAAAAGTTGCAGAACCTTCATTGTTAGAGACCTTAAACTCTCTGGGTGAATAAAAATTTAGGGAATTAAACCAAAAGGCAGCCATGGAGATGCAGGAGATCCCGACAGAGAGCCCACAAAGCAATGAGGAGGAGGGAGCAGGTGAGCCGATGCAGGAGGTGATAACTCAAGGTGAGAAAGATATGTAGTGAATTAGCACAGAAGATAATGCTCAGGTGTTTAAATTAATTGTGTGTAAATTTGAAAGTGATCTCCAGATGTGTTTGTATTTTTGTCTTTAGAGGAAGCAGAACCAGTCCGTTACGAAAGCCTGCAAAGTCCGTCGGAGGATGTCTATGCAGAAGCTTTTCCTCCGGCAGTCAAACCAGGAGAAGGTATATCTGCAAATCAGAAATGGAGTATTTTACAGCAAATACTAATGGACAGGACAAATGAGAACAAAGTCTCAGCTGTATTAACCATACGTCTTACTTAGTCTGGATAAGATAATTTTGTGATGCATTAAAAGATGCATTTTTTTTATATTTCCTTTTCTTTAGCATTTTTGCATTATACATTTTTTAGCATTGTTCATGTTTTAAATAATAAAAAATGTCAAGTTTGGGAAAGTGATGGAGAAGCAGAGAGTCCAAAAAGCAGCGAAGGAGCAGATGAGTTGATACTGGGGGCGATAACTCTTGGTGAGAAAAATATTAATTAGTATTGATAAAATTTTCAATTAAAAAAATGATTTTAGAAAGTATTTAGCCTCGGCTGGAACTCACTAATTGTTCACTTGAGTGTTATGTTGTCTCACAGTGCTGTAAAAATGGTGTAGTTTTACTGAAGGACGTTTCTGCACGTCTAATAAAACCAAACCAATATATTTGAATCTCAGCTTTAAAAAAGTGTTGCTGTATTATAAATGAACATTCACAAAATGAATAATGTTTATTACTAAAATTTATAAAAAAGCTACATTTAAAAGAGATCATTTTAGTTTGTCATGGAGATAAACCGGTTGCCAGTCACTTAGTGGTGGGGGCTTTATCATTCTTAAAGATTTGAAATGGTTTCTAGTTTTTGCTTTTGCAAAGTGCAGCAGTAACAACCGTGGGGCTGCATACTTAAAGTGTGTAAAGTTTTTTGTTCAGCAAACAACTCATTTACATATAGAGGAAGAAAGGAATCGTTCTTCCTCATTTTATAACCATTTCCCCTTGTAAATTTATAAAATTAATACAAAACATAGAGCATAAATTTATATGTGGTTAAGTACAAGAGATACTACATGCATTTTAAGAAAATGCCAGTAATTTTGAGTAGTATTTAATTAATCTGTAACTCAGATGTTAAATGTTTATTCACAGATTTATGGAACTAAATTTAGTAGGTCAGTTTACGTTTCTTCTGGGTTTTCTAAATTGAATAGTCGCTTGTTTTTTTCAAACTACCATTCAGATAACACTTAATTCTATGCAGATGGCTCTATGTCAAAATATGCCTCTCTGCTATGTCACTGTTCAGAGTATAATTTAAATCTGGACCTTCTGAAATAGAACATTATTCCCCCTGTTCTCAGGAGTTGGACTTTAGGTGTTGGCAGATTTTTGTTGTTGATTTTTCTTGGGGCCCAAATGTGGATGAATCACCGGTTTTGTGTCTCTGTGACCTTTCTTGTAAGAGCTGTAGTAATTTCATTTTCTTGTTGAAAACTCAAATTTTGAAGACTGGTCATGCCTCGTAGACATGTATAAAAAGTTATGATTTTGAACCTTTTCAGTCTCCCAGGCCTTATGAGCAAACTCATCAAATTTCAAAACCACTGGCCAAATCCTCTACAGAGTTTGATCAAAAGCAGAGGCCAGAAACGCCTGTTTGCTGCAGAGCATGGGGAAAGAAACGTTTTGGATAGGTGTCAAGAAGTTCTACAAGTGTATGAAGTTTTACACCACTACAATAAAGAAAAGTAAATAAGGAAGGTGTTTTAATCATTCCTATGATTAAGACATAGAGAACCTGGTGTGTTCTCAATATTTTCAGTTTTCATAATGTAAGATTGACCAATGCACATGTGCAACTAAAGCTTCTGATGACTTTGAACATGACCTTGTTCTAATTACTTTCCCTGCACTGAAATCATCAGCATACGCTCGTTATGATAAGTGTGACACAAACACGGATCTAATATGGCTTGCAATGACATTATACTTCTTGTTTTGGAATACAAAGTCTCTGTTGTGACTCTGTCTCCACGAGAGAAAGAGATTCAAGCTTGGGGGCGTTCAAGGACAAGCTCTGTGTTACGTGAATAATTTAGAAATTACTGTGAGTTGTCATGGTGTTGGGGGGTGAGGGGGACTCTAACCTCTACCCCAGGCACACTTGAGTTAGAACACAAAAGAATAAGCACCCTGCCTGGCACACAGTAGGACAGCTTCCTCCATGTACGTCAAATTTCTTCGCAGCTATTTTGAGGATAAAAAAGAGAAACCAGATGAAGCAGAATTGTCGGTTGAGCTGCAGGGAGAGAAAGGTAGGGATGAAGTGTTTTTTCCACTCTGATGGTGGTCTTTGTTGTGCTCACTGACATTTGGTTTTCCTCTTCAGGCAAACAGGATGAAGGAAAAACAGGACTGTACCGTCTGCTGTGTTTTATCCTCGCAGTAATCTGCCTCATTCTTCTCGTAGTTGCTGTCGTTCTCGGTGTGAAACGT